TGCTCGCCCACTTTAACAGAGGAAGCAAACTCAAGGCCTTCACCCCACACTGCTGCCCTAATGGCCATCACCCAAATCCAACTCTTCTACTCCCTGTTCTACAACATGCAGCAAAGCTTTCTGCATTTCATGTGTCCACGCCAATTGTTTATTCATTAGCTCATATTTAACGAATGTGCTTGTTCACTGGCCACACAGCTTGTTCTTGAGTTTTTCCAATGAAAAGCACGCCTGTTGGAAGAGGGCAGATTCCCGGGACAGGGCCAGCACTGATCAGGCCAGCCTCTGAAGCACAGGTGTGTGTGGGCACCTACCGGAAGGAAGACCCAGCTCCTTCGAGAAAGGTGGCAAAGTCTGCGGAACCAGCCAAGGACTGGGTCACACAGAAGAGGCTTCCAGCACAGATTTGATGAATGTACTATCTGCTTTAAAGACTCAAGACTTTGCTGAACTCCTCTCTCACTTTCCAGGACACAGATGATAAAACCAGTAAAAGGTGCTGGAAAAATCAATGCTCCCTCTACGTATGCTCCAACCCTAAAAGACTACGGGCTGCTCTCAATCATTCCGGAACTGACAGCCTTACTCCGGGAGCATCAGAGCCAGCCTGCCACCCTCATCCACTGCTGCCGCCTTCCCTCACGTCCCTCCTGCTTCCATGCCCTCCTAGGAGTGGCAAGCCACAGCTGGGGACCTGCATGCCCCATCTGTGCCAGCCAGGATGCTCAGGCAGGAGGAGCCTCTACCCCAGCCAAGAGGAACCAGGTGCGACCCAGTGTCTAGTCATCCCTGCCCCTACCCCACTACTACGTCCACTTCAGAAACGGCTCTGCTGTGGGCAGAGAGGCTGTTTTGACAGAGGCCTTTGCAATTTCTCTTTAAGCCAAACAGAGTTAAACCACATCACTCCAATGAGGTACTTGTCCTAATCCTTCCTCTTCTTGGAAAACTTTGAAAGGAATCCACCCACTTCCAAAATGACCCACTGTACACTGTCTCATTTGGGACTCAGACCTCCTCAAGCAGGAAGACTCTCAACGTTCCCATTCTGCAGATGGGGAGACTGAAAGCTCAAAGAGGCCAGGTGGTGATGTGAGAGTCCCTAGTCCTTGCAGCACACTGCACTCCTGGGGTGGGCCCTGAAGTACCCGGCTCTCCTGAATTACACGGAGTTAGCAAGATGCTCCACACCAACGAGTGCTTCACGCTGCGATGCCTGTGATGGAGGGAAAGGTTTCAGTGCCTCATCTAGGCTGACACATTCGATTATGACACATCCAAGATGTCCCCTGCACTAGCATAATTTCTATCTGTAAGAATTTTTTTAGTAGCTTCACAAACCCAAACCTCCCAGCTATAACACACAGAAACCAAGTTTCCCCACCCATGGCTCAGCAATCTGGGTTTCAGGATTATTTGTCCCTAACAAAATCTCCTGCCATTTCTTAAACTACTGGCAGGCGGTTGGATTTTCCACTTGACATTGTTAAGAGATTAAACTGTTTATCTCATTGTCATACAGAGGACTTTTCAGTTTCCGGCTAACAGATTCAGGTTAGATAAGCATTACAGAAGTGATACTCCCCAACTCCTGTCCATACCAGCCAGCGTCCTTTCTCCATAAGGTTATTATGAGTCCTGCTTTATTAAATCTACTACTCAGATGCTAGCTTATAAAAAGAAAGTATTACACATTCATGCATAGGCAGGGGATTAGACAAACACCAGCTCCCACACAGCTGGGGAAGGAGCACTTACCAGGGGATCCTGTCCAATTACACACTCTACCACCTAGTCATCAACTGCCATAGAGAAGAGGAAAACAAACTGAGCTGAGCCTGGAAAGAATGTCAGCAAAATTGGAAATGCACTTGCTAGGAACTGCGGGGGGGCAGGGGGTGCCGACCTCCCCTTAACTGCCCAGGTCCCGCTGGCCAGCAGCACACGGAGAATGCGTTGGGTGGATGGCCAGTCACCAGTGAACCCGATCCCTCTCTCCTGCAGCAGCTGAACATTCCCCGCAGTGTATAAAAACATGACGCGCTGGTAATATAAAATGTAACACAGCCTCTTCTTGGAAAACAGCACAATCAGTTTATTCATTTTGACTCAGTGCATAGGGTAGGAAGAACCTGCCTCCTGAGAACCTTCAAGAGGGCAATGACAAAAAGACTATGCTCAGTGCCCTCTCCCATCTTGCTCCTGCCCTCCAGCCCTCGCCAAGATCAACCTGATCAAGGGAGCAGCTGGGCCGTCCTTTAGGGGAGGTCTCGCCCCAGATGCGGCCCTTAGCCTGCATCATTAATTCATATCGTCATCTCCGGATCAGGCGAGCCCCAATCTTGGTCACCAGGTCAACGGAAATAATCTCAATGATTGTTTGTGATGCTGTATCATTCATTTTCCCTTTCCACCCAGAATCTTACCACAGAAGTAAAATGTGAGATTAACAGGATAACAGTGAGCTTTATGAGGGGAGATCTTCCTCAGCTGAAAATTAACGCCCATTGTCCCAGGCTGAGTGAGCCATTGTCCTCCTTATTCCGAGATAGGAAAATAAAAATGCCCCTTAGTGAAATCACATGAGAATGAGCTGCAGAGACTCATTCGGCTTTCTTTTCTGTAGCTCCTACTTTTTTCCTGTTTTCTTTTTTTTTTTGGTACCGGGGATCGAACTCAGGTCCTTGCGCTTGTGCAGCAGGCAGAGAAACCACTGAGCTAAATCCCTGGCCCTCCTGTTTTCTTTTTTTTTTTGATGGTAGGGATTGAACCCAGGGCCTCATACATGCTAGGCAAGCACTTTACCAACTGAGCTATACTTACAAAATTTAACAGCTGGTCTGAAACATGTAAAAATTTCAGGAAATGAAAAAAAAAATGTATTGGCTCATGACCAGAAGAGATGCCTTTTGTTGAATGGGTTCCCATTACATGATATCAAGTCAATAAAACGTCCAACTAAAGCTCAACAAGAGGAGATCGGATTTCTAATAGTGGGTTCGTCACGCAAGTGCTAAGAAACATGGCAGACAATCTTCCAAAGTCGACATGCTGGCTCCTCGGGAGTCACCCCTCACACACAGCCTAGAGGCCCCGCCTGCATGTAAGAAACACCAGGCCACCTGCCCGAGAACACTGCCAGAACTGGGCCACGTTTGACCTGGCCCTGGCGACCCCTGTGCAGCAGGCCCTTCACTGACTAAGCCCTCCACCCAGCCCTCCAGTCCAAGCCTTAAGTGAACAAAAAGAGACCACAGTAGGCAGTCAGGTGTCGGCGTCAGGTAACACCAGCCTTCCCTTGGAGGGTCAGTGAAACGGCGCTCCAGGAAATTTCCGGGGTTCCATAATGGCCCTTCAGAAATGAACTTCTTTCCACCCTCTTTGGATGAGGCAAAGTCATTTTTCAGGATTGGCCTGGGATGAAGGTGGAAGTTAAAATGAAAATGGTAGGGTTACCGCAAAGCATTCCTCCCAAGGCCCAGTGAATTCTGCAGACAGACACGGCTTCACCTTGACGGGACTCTCGGCGTCTCCCAGCTCCACTTGAGCCAATGTGTACGGGGCCTCTACTACATGCCAGGTGCTATGCTGGGCACTTTTACGAACATTACATCCCGGCCTCACTGCCCCCAGGCCACTTATACACCCTTTTCCCATCAGTCTGCAGCCATGTGTAGACAGACCCAGGTCTCCTAAACCGGGTTCAGCCCTACCTCTGTGGCAGCAGGAACATGGGATAAGCAATGAATTTGCCCTCAATAGAACTGTTCCTTTCTTTGTTCATCTTTCAAATGGCCTAACATTTCTTTTTTGGGTAGATAATGCGAGGTGTTTTCTTTCACTCGTTCATTTACTCATTCTTTTAGTGCATGTTCTGAAAGCATGTACTGTGTTTAAAGCCAAGGTGAATCTTCAAAAGTAAAAAGGAGAATGGAAACATGGGTCCTACAACTGTATCAACACTTTCTAGCCCAGCTCTCATCATCTGTAAAATGTGAATACTGAAGAAGATGAGTTCCCAAACTTCCCCTAGACCCAGAGGTGCACAGTGTTCAATACAGAAGCTCCAGAAAAAAGTGTGTGTTACATTTTAGTGGCAAGCTGAGGCCTAACTTCCTGAGAGCAGAGGTATCTGTACTGTCTTCGGCTAAGGAGATGAGCTATAGCTTTCAGAATTTACTCCTGGAAAAATCGATCAGGGCTCTGTCTGCACCAGGAAGCTGGGGTGAAGGAGGGGTCCCAGTGGGGAGGAAGGAAGGTGTCTGGGAGGACCTTGGTGAGACTCAAAGTTGGCTGCAGAACTACAGCAAGTGGAGACTGACTGTTGGTTCATGAGGCCAGGGAGGCAGCTGTCCACAGTCACATGGACTGGACCCGTGGGCCGGAAAGACACGCTAGGTCCTTCTCCTCCATGATGGTGAGGCTGCCTACGGCATGACCATTACTTGGTTCAGTAAGTTAGTACTAGAGTGTAGGGTTACAGAACACTCAGGAGAATTGGTTATATAAAATCTCAAACAGGCAGCTGGCAGTCTAAAGGACTTTTCATCTTACCAGAGTTCACTTGGGTTTGGTGTATTTTGTAAGCAATGAGTTCTGATTCATGAAAAATATGCTTCCCACATTCACAATGTCGGGAAAAAATCACTGGAAGGCACACTTGTCCTGGAGTTGAAAGCACACTATGCATATATCAAGCCCGATACCCATCTGTCCTCTACCATCCAGACCCACAGAACCCTTCACACCAAGAGTGCAACCATGACCCAGTTTAGAAGACTACCACTATTAATTCAGAATCACTTGCTGATTATCTGAAATCTATAGGTTTTACTCTACCAAGATATAAAATTTTCCCATTCAATTCTTTAAAATTCTAACCTCTAGATAACTAAGCTGAAAGCTGACAAAATAAAATAAGCCTAAACAATGTTATCAATACTCCTAGGAGTATAAATAAACTACAGAGAACTAATCTAATCTGCAACTACTTTCAACAGGCGGGCGTGTGCCAACACAGTCAGAGGAGTGACTCAACCCCAACCAGCACTTCCAAACAGAAGTTCTAAAGACGGCTTACAGAACACCTGAAATCCTTTCTAAAGCACCACCTGACTGGTTTAGTGTGTTTTCTTGTAAAACCTAAAGGCTAGGTGAGTCTTAAGCTGTATTTTCGAAAACCTTAAACATCCGCATGGAGAGTAATGTTGAGAATCAACCTCTTCTTTTCCCATTTATTTGAAAGCATTTTAAACTGGTTGAACACTTTTATCTTTAAGACAACGTGTTTGAAGTGATATTTTGGTTCCTAATTGGCAAAGCCTCAGTTTGTAAATCTTAAACACCCAAAGGGCCAAAGACTCCCTGTTTGTCAACAGAATCAATATTCTTAGATTAATCTTCTGGCATCCTACCAATACAATCTCTAAGAGCTGTCTGATTATTAATAAAAACAGGAGTTGTGTTGATGATTTGTTCCGATGGTGGTGCTTTTTCAGTGTGAAATTACAAAGAACCACTTTTCTGGTAGAGAGAGAGCAGACAAGTCGAAGCACAACACTGAAGTGTCTGTTTCAGCCTCCGTGCCAAGTCCATACCGAAGACCCCCTGATGTGCACTGCAGATACATCCAGTTCTGATTCCAATCTCTAAATTAGTCACCAGGCACTAGGATGAGGTGGACCCCGTAAGACCACCCTCCTGCTGTGCGCAAGTTGTAAAAGGAGAAACCAAGCCAGGAGGCAGAGCGCCTGAGCATGAGGGTGTCCTAAGGTCTCGCTGCCTTCTGGCCCTGGTTTCTTCATCCCTAAAGTAACACCTGGAATCTCCCCCACAAGACCATGGCCCTTCCAGATGTGAAAGCTGCTGAGACCTTTCCAGGGGAATCCTACCCACACACCTGAGAGAGAGGGCCACCCCACCCTTGAAAAAGAGCACATGCAGCCCACAATCTGGCCATCAACATTCTCATCTAGAAAAGAATTTTCCACTTAAACTATTCACCACTAGATGTATTTTTAAAGTGCTCTTAAAACTTAGTTTAGTTACCCCAAAATAACATTTTTATACACTTCTCAAAGCCGTATACAACCATTTTCAACTGCTTGAATGTTTTGCCATGTGTATGTTGATTTTTTCACTAAAAAACACAAAACAAGTGGTCAATATTAGAAAAAAAAATCCAAGTAAACAAATTCCAGTGACCCTTAAAAAGTGGAAAGCACCAACAAAGCAGAGGTTTTGAGATATTACACTCCTTTATACAACCTCTCACATAAGTAAGCCAGTGTTTTGTCTTGTTTTGTTTCTGTACAAACTACAACTCAGGAGCAAATCAATAAAATCTAGTTTTTAAACTTTCCACTGGTGTCTCAATGGCACAGATACTCCAGTATGGAACGATACAGGAAAGTAAATGATTGATGATTAGTTTGTTTCTGAAAGAAGAGAGAGAGCACGACCGAGCTCTGGGCAGTTCAGTTCTGTTTAGATCACAGGGAACAGTACATGTGAACGGGCCTACATTTAAGCCATGCCGGACTAGCAGGTGTGTAATACAGTTACTTCCAAGCAAATTCCCGGCTCTGCCTTTAGAAGCAGAAGGCAGCCACGCCCTGCCAGCACAGGCCAGCACAGGCCCATTCCTCAGGAGGAGCCAGGCCTGTGCCTCGGTAGGCACACACGGAGGAGGCAGCCTTTAGAGGTTCTCAGGTCTGGCCCGGGTCAGTGTGATGGGAACGCTGAGCGTGAGTGCGTGTGTGCGCCTGAATGTGAACATGTGAGGGCAGGTGTGCGTTGGGGTGTGTGCACTGTTCGGGGAGGGGTGAGCACACCTGAGCATGCGGGAGAGTGAGCGGGAGAAGTGTCCAGCTGTGGTGCAGGGCAGCAGTGTAGACAGAGGCCAAGCACTGACGAGAACTCGGCCCGGATCCCGGCGGCTCAGAGAGTGCAGGCTTAGGCCTGTCTACCCAGCACCAGGCCCAGCCAACACACCCGACCAGTGAGGCTGCAGGGCCTTCAGCAGACCAGCCACCCGGTACCCACGTGGTTCTGATCCCAAGAGCACGTGTTTTGGTGTCACAGGTAAAGTTCCTGCTCAAGATCAGCACATGAAGAAAACTGCTTGTCGTGCAAGCACTCAACCCAAGCCCAAACATCCCTAGGACCCCAGTTCCAGTCGGTCACCAACCCTGCGCCAACGCGCGCGCACGCCTGTAAGCCTCAGGGGATTCTTCCCAGACTATTCTGTGGGTGTCTAAAGCCCTGTTTACGTGAGAGGCCAACAGGCCACTCTTGTTTCTTCCTCTGGGTCTGTTAGCGAGCTGGGAAACACCTGATGCCTCTAGTTCCTCAGCTGGCATCTCTTTGGCAAGGTATCACCTGCCATTATTTATCTCCTCCTTAAGTCATTTCCAGACAAGACCTCTTTTCAAACCTCAGGACACACAAACTGTTTCGATAACCAGCCAGTTAAGAGCTGCTAATCCACCACAAGAAAAGGCAAAGGGAAACTGGGAGAGCAAGTCAAAGCGCCTCTGAGTGGGCCAGCCAGGCCTCAGGGTCCAAAAGCCAGAGGGAGGAGTGAGCAGAGGGCTGCGGGGCAGGAGAGCGGGAACCTGGCCCCGTCTTCAGGACCACTCCACCCTCCAGGTGCACTGTCCCCTCCGAGATGCTGTGTCCATGCCTGAAGGCAGGTACGAGATTCCGGGGCCCCGTCCTGGCCACAAAATGCCAGGCATACTGGGCCCGGAGTTTGCATACACATTTGCCTCCAGATCAGCAGAAAGCAGTCTCAGGAAAAGAAATTCAAAATTCCAGACTGTGATTTCTGAGTGGGAGCTGGACAGAAACATGCTTCAGAGCCCCAAACCCCTTGGTGAATGACACTGAGCGGAAACATAAAGCACTCAGTTGCAGAGAAAGGTATAGCCTGGCTACTATAAAGCAGGCAGCCTTCCTCAAGGCAGCACTGCAACCCCTCCCACTCAGAGGTGGGAAACTCCCCCACGCTCTGGAAAAGCTAAGAGACACGCCAGACCTCAGACTTGCTCGCCCCAATGCTTACATCTTCTGAAAGGCACCGACGCTCCAGAGAGAGAAAGCAGCCTCCCACTAAGATTAACCACGCAACAGAAATAAAGTCCTGTCCACCACCACAGCTAGAAGGAGACATCAGTGCGACGACCCCAAAGAGACACACATGAAAACCAAGCGGAAACAGACCTGTCCCAACTCTTACCTTTCACCATCTAAGGTGACGCACCCTAATGTGACACCCTGGTGTGAAGGGTACGGCCTGCCTGGCGACAGCAGGCCTTTCACTTTAGTTCATACAGCAAACTCCACCTCAGTTGCACTGAGCACACTGACACCGCACTGTCCCTGCCTAGCGGAGGCCTGGCTGCTGTCCACCCAACAGACCGGCCACCACATCTCCAGGCTTCAGGGCCCTGTCCCAGGACCCCAGATCTATCCTCCTACCCTGTTAGTAGAGACCAAGTTCATTCCATGACATCCTTGTCAGCCTCAGTCAATTGCAGGACTAAGTGTTTCACTTGGTCCAACAAATTCTATACTCAGCAGCTCTGTCCACTATCTGAGGGTTAATCAGGAAGTCTTTGGTGATCCTCATGAATGTTCCCAAGAAGAGTGGTGAGACCTACAGGAAGTACCTGAAAAATTTGTTTTTTAAGATGGACTTGGAAAGAGCAATAGGAGTAACTCAGATTCACTGTCTCACCCACAGAGCGCAGGGCCCTGGCAAACACACCTGGAGAGAAAGACTGCTGATAGCAGCTTCAGGACCCTGGGCAGTCTTCAGCACCCCATAGAAAGCAAGAAAACCAAAGGACACATGGGGCATCGAAGGTCTGCTGAAAGCCCCGTGAGCTTAGGAACACCTCAGGGCTAGACTCACCACTCTGGGTTTCTGCTGGTCCAGGGTATGAAGAACGGCAGCGCTGGGGTCCAGGGTTCGTTCAGGGTCACTGGAGATGTCCTCTTCCGAGTCTTCATAGGACGAAGAGAAGCCCGTGGAGGAAGCAGAGGAAGAGGACAGTTTCCTCAGGGGCAGGCTGCCCCGAGGGCTTCCGTGCACTTCCTCCAAGCCCCCGTCCTCCTGCGCACCCATGTCGGTAATGACGACTGCAGGTATGGCAGGTGTGTTGCTGGGGCTGCAGGCCACTCTCGGGGAAGGCTTGTCCTGGCCCAAGGGCAGCTGCTCGGGCCCGGGGCAGGCATCTCCGTCCTGCAGCTGGCTTTCCCGAGTCCCCTTCCTTTGTAGCCCTGTGCCTGGGGTCCAGGCCAGGCCGGCTTCCTGCACGGGAGGCAGCCAAGGCCTGGAGGCCCCAGGCTGCACACCCACCCCGTCCCTGGGAGGGCACTGGGGTTCATTCAGGTCTTTCCCCAGTCCCCAGCAGGACAACGGCTCCAACATTCTGCCAGAAGAAGCTTGGGCCTCTGCCTGCTTGGCCCCTGGCTGTGCTGTGGGACTGCCTCCGAGCAAACCCCGCGAGGGAGACCCTTCCCCCGCCCCGCGGGAGAGAGGCGGGGGCTCCCCCCGACCCACAGAGCCCAGGTGTGCGGGCAGCGCTAAGCAGCCCGGGGCCTCTGACAGCTCCGAGCTCTGTGCGGGCGAGGGCTTCTGCTCCGGCTTCCTGATGGCTCCTGGCACCCTGGAGCACTGGCTGCCGCAGGGCACACTCCCCCTGCTGCCCGCCTTCCCGGGGGGGTCCGCATCGCACCGCCCCACCAGCTCTGGGGCTGGGCTTGCCTCACTGCCCAGAAACTGCCCTTGCTGCTCCAGCAGGGCCTCCCCGGGGCGGGAGTTGCCAAGCCCTCTGGCCCTCTGAACGAGGGCAGTGTCATGGGGCCAGTGCGGCCTCACGGAGGTGGCTGTTGCTGCTACGTCTGTGGCCATCCCCAAGCACGGTCCCACAGGCTCCAATGTGGGGGCTCCACAGCTCCAAGTCTCTAACACAGGGGTGGCCCTCTTGTCAGTTTCCAGGGCAAGAACCGGTGAGTCGCCACAAGGACCGACAGGAGGTGCCTTCTCCCCCCTCGACGCAGCCGAAGCCGCTGGACGGTGAGCCACTGGTCCTGTCCGGGTGGCCCGGCCCTGGAGGGGTGCCACTCGCTCCCTGTCCTTCGAGGGGTTCGAGCTGAAACCTCTGCTCACGGCGGAGTCCACATCGGGAGTCTCTGCACACTGGGCCCCCCAGGATTGTGTCCTCCGTTCCTCGCTGGGGGTCCCCTGGGCCAGGCCCCTTTCCGGGGGCTGGCTGCTGCTGCGGAAGGGGCTCGGGGTCGGGGAGCGGGCCCGGCCTAGGCGCGGGCTGCGGGGCGCCTGGGTGGCAGCGCTCTGTGCCTGGATGTGCGCCTCGAACAGGCCCACTTTCTGGTTCACCTGCACGTTCTGCAGCTCGCGCTGCAGAATTCGCAGCTTCCTCCGGGCCTCCTCCAGGCCCGGCGGGGAGAGGGCCCCGGCGGGCGCCCCGTGCAGTCGGTCCCCCCGCAGGCGTCCCGGGCTGCCCACGCAGCCGCCACCGCTCAGCTTGCGCCGGCCAGCGGGGCTGCGCGGCTCCTCGGCCGGGGGGAAGAGGAAGGAGGCCGCCGTCCCGGGGCTGAAAACGCTGCCGGGACTCGGGCCCGGGGACGTCTCGCTGCCGCTGGGCCCCGGGCCGCTGCTCTTCGCCTCGCTGGCGCTGTTCATGACCACCAGGCTGTTGAGCGCGCAGCAGGTCACGGCCATAGCCCCGGGTGCGCCGCGCCGCCCGCCGGCGCCCGCTCCCCGCGCAGCTCCCGGCTCAGCCCAGCAGGCCCGGCGGCTGCGGCTCCGAGCGCGCACCGGGGTGCAGGGCCCGGGCGGCGGGCGGGGGGCGCGGCCGCGGGCACAGCCCCGGCCCAGAGCTCCATAGACGCCGCGCAGCTGTGGACACAGAAGGAGAGAGTCAGGACCCGGCTTCGGCGCGCGTTGGGGACCTGTAGATCCCGGCCGCGGGCGCCGCGCGAGTGGCGAGGGCGGGACGCGCAGCTCCGGCCCGGCGCGCAGACGGCGCCGTCAGGTGGTGCACGGCGCCCCGCGCCACCCTCTCCCCTCGGGGGCCGGCCCGGCCCGGAGACGCCTGCGTGCCCGCAGCAGTTTACCTCCCGACCCTGCGCTCCGGCTGGGTCTCGGCCTGCGGAGGCCTGGGCGGGCGGCGCGGCTACAGCGCCGGGCCGTCCCGAAACAAGTGTGAGAGCGGGCGCGCCTGCGCGGGCCGGGGCCGAGGCTCCGCGGGACCCGAGCCGGAACCGGCACGTCCGCCCCCGGGGGTGTTGGGCCGCGGCCGCCCGGGGACGGGAGCCTGCCCAACTCGCGAGCCGCCGCCAGGTGCGCCCGGGCCGCGGCGCAGCCTCCCGGGGCCAGGGCCTCCCGCGGCCAGGGCCTCCCGCGCCCGCCCCTCGCAGCGGCCGGAGCCGCGACGCCTGTGCGCGCCCGGAAGGCGGCGGGAGGGGCGCCGAGAGCTCCGGGGAGGGGGGGCGCCCTCCTCGGCCGCGCGGAAAGGGGGTTCGGGGCGCGGGCCGGGAAGTCACCTCGAGCCCACCTGCAGCTTCTCAGACTCGGGGTCCCGCGCAGGCTGCAGGCCCGGAGACGCGGACCTCGCGGGGCCGATGGCTTCGAAAGTAAAATGCTCGAGATGACTTCCTCAACAGTCTATGGAAGGCGAAAAGGAGGCCCCAACCCAGCCGCGCCAGGCCGGCCTCGCCCGGCGGAGACAGCGCCCGTCAGTGTTCGAGGCTCGGGTTTAAAAGTTGGGGGGCGGGGGAGGAGGAGGGCGGGGGCTTGGGGGGAGGAAAGCAGGAAGGAAGTTGTGAGCCTGTCTGGGGTTGAACTCAGCGGAACAAGTTTTTCTTTCTTCTTTTTTTTTTTTCTATTGCTTGGCAAGACCGAGGGAGGGAAACACTTTAAAAAAAAAGTTTCCATTGTTGGCTAACAAGAAAAAAAACAGCCTTTTAACTTCTGCGGGTTAAAGACATACAATTCATTTTCCACCGCTCCATCAAGGCTTCCTAATAATCGCTAGCTTTAGGAAACTACTTTTCAAAAAATGTTTTTAATACAATTCTGTGCCTTCTAAAACAGAGCAGCTTCTGAGGACCTCTTTAACGTTTAAGGCGGGCTGAAGCTCTGTGTGTCCTTGCACACGAACATGCAAATCGGAGAAGATACCTTGCGGGCACCCTGCAGAGGGGCAGGTTTCAAGTGCTCGCAGCAGTATTTTGGAAGACTGCTTAGGCTGTGAGCAGCTGCAGCTTCTGCAGTGCAATTGCTAAATGTGTAAACTCGCCATTCCATGGCACATGTAGATACAAATGCACACGGCAAATGGAACATTCTCATGCTTTTGCGTTTAATTCTGTTACTCTATACTCAAAAAGTATAAGAAAAAAAAAGGCATAGTACTGGAACTAGGAAGGCCTGATAATTGGCTGAACCCCACTTTCCTCAGGGTCCTGCACACTGAATATTTTCAAGATATTTCTCCCCCATCACTAGCAAAAAATAGAGAAGGAGCATCAGCCAACAATTAGTGGGCAAAGCATCCTACCACCTAGTTAAGCCCTGGCACTGCAAGTGTGTTTTGCATAATTCCCTAAACCTTAAACTACAGAATTTACTGGAAACAGGGAAAACACAGCTGCAAGGTTTAGGAGATTTAAAAATCCAAAGCCTGAATCAGACCTTATCACCAGATGAACTAAAATTCAGGTGGAAATTTTGATTTTGCTTGTAGCAAACAGATCTCTCGCTTGTTTATGCAGCAATACTGTCAAATGAGCAAACCATCCTGCTCTGATCAGGAAAGCTCACAGCAAACCTGACACGAGAGACTAGCTCTAGCCAAGAATTCCTGGGGATCAGGCCCTGTTGAATCCTTCCGGATTGTGTGAGCCATGCCGAAAAGGGATCGAACCTCATCCATGCTCCTCCCCTATGCACTTCACTCAGGGTCAACCCAGGCTCTGGGCAGCTCCTAAGAGAAGCCAGGCCTGCCTTGCCCCATTCCTTTGGGCAGGAAGAGGAGCTTGCCAGTTCTTGGTGGATGTGAGGGTGCCAACATCCAGGGCAGGGATCGTAGTGGAAGCCAGTGAAGGACCTCGCAGTGCTTACACTGAGCACGGAGACGTAGCCTTTCACTCGGGGAGGCCTCACTGTCACTCCAGGCCAGACACTATCAGCCTTTCCTAGGTGAGAAGCGTGTCCTGAATGTGCACTCAGCCTCAGGAATTCTTGGTCCAAAGGCAGCCAGCAGCAGTCAAGTGTGACTGGCAGAAGGGACTGGTGTCTTTAATGCAGGTACAACTAGATGGCAGTTCTACCAGCCTGAAACTGTGCCTTCATGCAGAGCACGGGTCAGGGAAAGATGACCGAAACCTGGGTCTGGAGGCCAGCAGGGTTTGCTTACATCCCGAAGCAGAATCTAGTTGCCCTTTCCTGATTTTAAATGAACATTACAGTTTTTTCATATAGCGCTTATTATTTGTTCTGGGCACATTAGGTATTCTGGTGCTCTAGGCACGTTATATTTTTATACATTTTTATCCTCATAACAACCATGTGAAGTAGGTATTATCATGAGTCCTATTTTACAGAAATTAAACCAAGAAGACGTAAGTAAATTGTCCAAAAATTCCACAGCTAGTAATTGGCAAAACCAGGACCTGAACCTGAGCAGTCTAGGTCTAGAATCCATGCTGGTTTCTACTTCCTCTTACACTCGTCTGCCGCTTGTAGGGAAGATTTGCCTAACTTCAGGGTTGCCCTTCCCCAGTTTTTTAATGGAATTTAAAGATAAAAGCTACAAAATTGCCCACTATGTAGAAAATACTATGGAGTTTACAAAAAAGCTACTGGATTTTAGCAAATACACTGTGTTTCTAGGGGCACCATAAGCAAACACCTCCAGCTGGTTGGTTTAAACAACAGAAGTCTACTTTCTCACAATTCCAGGGGCTACAAGTACAAGACTGAGGCATTGGCCGCGCCGATCCCCTCTGAAGCCTGCCCCTCACAGACGGCCGTCTTCTCGTGGCACCTCCACGGGGTCGCCCTCGGCGTGCGTCTACGCCAGGATCCCTGCGTCTATCAGGATGCCAGTCATTTTGGGTTCGGACCCACCCTAATGACCTCCCTTGACCTTAATTCCCTTTTAATAGACGCTTTCTCCAATACAGTCACATGCACCTTGGGGTTAGGACTCCAACATATAAATTCAAGGGGGAACACCGTTCAGCCCATAAAGGCAAGATTGCAGGGTACAAGATCAGTATACCCAAATCAATTTTATTTTCATGTACTAACAATGAATAATCAGAAAGCAGAATTTTAAAACTAATAAACCCTTACAATAACATCAAAAGCCTAGTGAATATAACAAAACCGTGCAATACTTAGAAAGACAAAACTGCAAAACACCACTGAGAAAAATCAAAGAGCTAAGTAAATTGATAGATTATGTTCATGAATTGGAAGACTCTATTGTTAAGATGCCAATTCTCCCTAATTTATCTGTAGATTCAGTGACATCACCATCAGTATCATAGCAGGCTTTTATTTTATTTTACTTTGTTTTTATTTCATAAAATTTACTGAGAAATGCAAGTGATATGCAATAGCTGAAACAATTTTGAAAAAGAACAAAGTAAAAAGACTAACTCTATCTGATGTTAAGACATAAAGCTATAGCAGTCAAGTTAGTGTGGTGTTGACATAAAGTAGATCAGTGGGGCAGAATACAGAGTCCACAAATAGACACATATATTAGAAATTTGATTTTTTTACATAGGGGCAGAAAAATGGAGAAAGAAGCCTTTTGACAAATAGTACCATAACACTGAGTATCCAGATGTGAAGACGGAAGGAGAGAGAAAGAAGGAGGAAAAAGAACCTCAATGCACATCTTATACCATGTACAAGAATTAACTCAAAATGGCTCAGCTCTAAGTGTAAAGCAATAAAACTTTTATTAAAAAAATAAGAGAAAATCTTACCATTTCTTACAAAGGACACTAAATTTATTGACTGCATCAACATTTCCAAATTCTACCCTTCAAAAGATACCAAAAAGATTGAAAGAAGCTAGTGGTATAGCACTTGCCTAACACATGCAAGGCCCTGGGTTCCACTCCTGGGGGAAAAAAGAATGAAAAGCAAGCCACAGACTGGGAGAAAATGTAATAAGCCACAATGTACATAGCAGCTTATTTGAATTGGTCAAAAACTGGAAGGAGCCCAAAGGATAAGCAATGTGTGCTACTTCACACTGAAAAATGACTTGCCAATAAAAGCAATAGACCATTAGTATCACACAACATGCACGAAGCTCAAAATAATTAGACTGACTGAAAGAAATCAGACCAAAAAGAGTGGCTTCTAGATGAATTCATTTATAGAAAGTTCCAGAAAACACAAACTAACCTCTATAACAAAGTAGAGTGGTGGGTAGCCTGAAATGGGGGCTGTGGGCTGGGGCAGGAGGTGTGGCAGAGACAGAGGACAATTTCGGAGGTGACGAATGTGTTCACTATCTTGACTGTAAATATAATTTCACGAGTATGAACATACACGAAAATTCTTAAATTGTAAAAACGTTCAGTATGTGTGATTTAATATACACACACACACACATACATATCAGTCACAACAAGATTCATTTTAAACAGAGCTGTAGGTGGACACAGACTTTAGCGAAGATGTTATTGGCCCCGGTCCTAGTAAGGAGCCTATTTCATGACGGATAGTGTCCTGTCTGGGTTAGTGTTGGGTCACACATTGGCTCTTCATGTGTCTCGTGGAATACCTCGGCGTCCCTTTCCACCTTATATACAGCTCTGTTAAGTTACTTTCCAAACCGTGGAATAATCTTTAGTTTCTGCCTTTCTTTGTTCTCTGCTAGATACTGAACTTTTCAAGGGATCCTGGTTCGGTTCTTTTCCTAGCCTTAGGTTTTCCTCCACATTGAGCAGCTCTATTCAGATATTAAAAGGGGAAAAACAGATGAATTAGGCAATGCCTCAAATCACTACGCATGAAAGAAGGACCAAAGGAGCAGCACATCAGGAGAGCTACGGCCCGCTTCCCAGAGGACACAAAGAAATCGAGCTTGGCTGACTCGAGGGCTCCCTAGCCTTCGCCTCACCCCACATCCTGTGCTGGAAATCTCAGCTGCAGTGCTCCCACAACCCCACCAGCCCAAGGCGTGGCTGAGCGCACCACGAGTCCCACAGGGAGGTCACCACACCCGTGCCGAGGCCAAGGCCACACACGAGGCATCAGCTTTGTGCTGTCCTTGGTCCCACTCCGCCTCCTTGGGCCCCTTGCCTTCTTTCCTTGCCCTCCCTTGACCTGGCCACCACGGTGACTCTGCCATTCATCCACACTGACCATCCACAGGTGAGCGTGACCTCTGTACCAGGCCTGTGTACTGTCCTTGCCCTCCAGTCTGGGGGAGACACAAGGGAGCACCCTGTGGAGGCCCAGAAGCCCAGCTCACGCAGATCCGGGCTCAGGGGCTCTTCCACTTAACTACATGTGCCCTTGACCAAGTAAGGGAAGCTCTCAGGACCCCGCTCTGAGGTCTGTGACATGCAAGTGTTATAATAGCCACCTCCAGCGTTCTTACAAAGACCTATTAATTAATTCACACATTAAGCGCTTAAAAAGGTATGCTTTTTAAAAAGGTAGATATTCGTACCCTATCTCATACTAAAAAAAGATCCAAGACATAGCATTACTACCACAGAATCTGCTTTACACATAGCAAGCATTCAATGCATAGTTGCTTCTAGCATGAGCTTCGTCAGCACCCAAAGTCCCTTGTTTCTATCCTGACCCTGCCCTAATACCCTAGTGGACAGCAGCAGCCATGGGGGCAGGGTGTATTCCCACAAAGCCATTTCTTTCTGTTCTATCTTCAGAAATGCTGAAGTCTACTAACCTCTAGACAGTTATGCCCATATTCAGGCACACAGAACCACATGCAAGTTGCCAGTTGGCAGCCCACCTGCCCTTCCAAGAGAATCTGCCCATCCTGCTCCCTGAATGGAAAAGCTAGGTACCAAAGGACCATTCTGAGCCCGTAGCTAACTAGACCAGGGTGGGCAAGGGTCCCGAAGACAGCTGACCCACGTTAACACCCTGGCATGGACATACGACCTAGTAAGTTGGATTCTTGTTGTGGAACTTTGGACTCTGTTACAGAGGCTAAGCAGAAAGATTGTGAGGTGTGGGTGGGAACTCCAAGGGAAACCAAGAGGAGAAAAGGATGTCTCGGTGAAGAGGGGGGATACAGACAGGTGTATCAAGGCAAAACCAAACCAACCAGCGCCTGCTGCTGGTGCAAGCCCCAGAGAAAGGCAGTGAGTCACCTCCCTTGCTGGTGGCTTCCCGGATCCATTTCCAGGAGGTCTGGTGGGGATCTGTGTCTGTCTGTAGGTTATGTGATACTCCCCAGTACTTCCCTACAACAAACTTGCACCCACTCATCCACTCGTGCTAACTAAGAACAGCTCTGTTCCTCACAACCAAAAGTGCTTTTAACTGTAAGCAAGATCCATCTTTGGGGCTGACATGCCAGGCCCTTAGCATTTCCTGATTTGGAGAAGCAGATGATTTATTATGTGGTCTGAGCTCACCCTCCAGTGGGGAAGCCAACCAGACACTTCAGAAAGGGTGAATTTTACAGTTTGGGAAGTGGAGCCAGAAAGGCTGGCTGCCGAGGAGTTCCAGCTGGTTTCCCAGAGTGCCCTGGGGTCCGGGAGGCTCACTGATTTCTCATTGGTTTAGCTCCTTTGTATCCCCCATTCGCTTGGACTCCAGGGGACCAACTCGGGCCAAGGAATTTCCAGGGAAACTGAGTAGCCAGAACACCAGTTCATTCATTTGGAATGGTCCAGTCACTGCCACTGGGAACTCAATTTTGTTTTTCTGCAGGAAGCCATGTTGTTGCCATATTAATTCCCCTTTCTCATTCTAGCATGATTTCAGTTAGAGTTTCAAGACCAGACATCTCCTCTGTATGACTGAAGAGGCAGACAAATTCCCTTGCTCTAACTTTCCTTCTCCAAGAAACTTTCTTTATCAACCCTTTTCTGCCCGCCTCCTCCCATAGAGAACCTGAGAGTGCTTGGGTTGGCATTCAAGGCCCGTACACTCGAGTACACCCATATCTGCAGCTCTGCTGCCCATGGCACTTTCCGGAGCCTTCTCTCTGGCCACTCCACCTTCCTTGCACACCCTGCCCTCTGTGTCTGCGCTCTGCTGACTCTTTACCCCCCACCGTCCCTGCAGCTCTCCATGGGTCCACACTGCTAGTGAGCTGTTCAACGCCCCCATGGGGTTCTCCACAGGAGAAAGCTTCGGGGACATCGCTATGGACGAGCCCACTCGCCCCCCGCCACCTAATTCCATGCCTTGCCTACATTTATGTGTGATTAATTCCTTCTCTTTACAAATGCTATTTTTGGGAAGTCAGATTGACTTGTTTAAACACACATGTGCACACACCAATCTTGTTACGCTCTGTCACTACTAGCAGGTGACAGAATCTGGAAGAGCCAATACAAATAGCCAGTGTTAGGATTCTAGATGGATACAAAGGAGAGGGATTTCATTTTGACATTTCCCCTGCCCTGCCCCTCTCCTGGTCGATGTCTTCCTTCCTGGGCGAAGTCTCCATTATGACTTAGTCTTCATTCATTTATTCATTCAACATTCACTGAGCACTCCCCTCACTACACACTCTCGGTAATTTGCTTTTCTCTCCTCCTTTTTCAGGAGACATTCTCTCACTTGCACCTGTAGCTTCTGGTGTAGAGAAGGTGCTTAATCAATGTTTGTTGACCTTGATCTTCACTTCCGGCAAGGGCAACAGCAGACTTTTCTACCTTTTCTGACAGAGGGTACTTTCGGGATGTGTTAGTCAGCTTCTAGTTGCTGTGATAAGATAGCTGAAACACTGTGCAAGAGGGAAAGTTTGTCTTGGCTCACAATTCCCGAGGTTTCAGTTTTGTGATTCTCGGCCTGTGGCAGCACAGTACTGCATGGCAGAAGCATGTGTCGGGGATGTTGTCACTTCATGGTGGCCGGGAAGCAGATAAAGCGGGGCTGGGTACCACTGTCCCGTCCCTCCCTTTCGAGGGGGGTCTCCCGGGCCTGGCCTTCGGAAGATGCCACAGGCTGGAGACAAAGCCTTTTGCACACGGGCCTTCGGCAGACACTCAGATCCAAGCTGCAGCAGCCCGGAGAGGGAAACCAAGCCGACTGGAAGCATTTCTGCAGCGAAGCCCAGCTACACTCCACTTCCATGTGGATCCTGAAATGACGATCTCACTTCAGATCGACTTTTTCAACCATCTAAAAGACAGACAGTGCAGTTGGGTCTGCTGATTACAAATCTGATTCAAACACAGAGGTCCAAAAGCTAGGGAACAGCCATCATCTGAACTCATGGTTTCATAAGTACATTTTTTCATTGTCTGGAAACAGCCATGAACTGATGAGAGATGTTATCCAACTTCTAGAATCTAAACGCAAACTAAAGCAACTGCAACGCTCACATTGAAATGTGGAGTCAGGACCTTGTCTGAACCGAAGCTGAGTCACTCGCTGGCAGCTTCAGGTACCAGCAGTGTGATCCTACCCCCTACCCTTCTCCAGGAGTCCCTTCCTGTACTGGGCCTGTTTGTGATGGAGCTGCCCTTGTGTTTTGTTTTGGTTTGTATTTTGCAGTGGTGGGGATGGAACAGGCAAGTGGTCTGCCACTCACCGACACCCCTGCTTTATCCTTGTTTAAAATCTTAAATGGTGAAGGTGTGAGAAGCAGCCCAAGCACCTTCCTTCTGCAGGGGCAAAGCATGTGCAAGGGCCCTGACCTAGCGAGGAGCAGGTTTGAGGAACAGTGAGTGGGTCTGTGTGGAGTAGAGGATACTGGATTTGTGTGACATCCA